CCAATTCTACCTTACAAATCCAGCTAGACCAGAGGATGTACACTGGTACAGATTGGAACTGGAAACACAGGGAATCCAGGACAGATGAACCCCTCAGGACCAGTGCTGAGAGTGGCGATACTGGCAGGGTGGATGGAGGGTGGTGTGGAAAGGGGGAACTGATTACAAGGATCTAGCTATAACCTCCTCCCTGGCGGATGGACAACAGAAAAGTGGGTGAAGGGAGACATCGGACAGTGTAAGAGATGACAAAATAATAATTTATAAATTATCAAGGGTTTATGAGGGAGGGAGGAACGGGGAGGGGGGTGGGAAAAATGAGCTGATGCCAAGGGCTTAAGTGGAAAGCAAATGTTTTGAGAATGAGGGCAACAAATGAACAAATGTGCTTTGCAAAATTAGTGTATGTATGGATTGTGATAAGTTGTATGAGCCCCCAGTAGAATGGTTTTTTTAAAATGTACCTAATTGCTAGCAGAAAGAGGCTGACTGTATTACTAGTGTTAGGGTATAACATTATACCAGTAAGAGTAGGTATGCATGTATCACGATTTTTGAAGGCCAGAAGAAACTGTACATCCTTGAGTTATTGTTATAGCTGGTGAGATTCTTGGGGGGGAGAGGTTGTTTTTCCTGTGTTCTTTTCTGTGTTTTCAAGGGTTTCTCTGTGGAACACGTGGAATTGCCTGATGAGAAGGAAGTATTTCCTTTCTTCAAGTAGTACCAGGTTCATTGTTTTCAAATGAACAGCAAATAGAGACGAGTGGCCGTCCTGCTCCTCTCACTGGCTCTTTAGAAAACAAATGCCATCTGCTTCTGACTGGAGCTGCCCCTACTGACTGATGCTCTAGAGCAGTGGTTCTCAGCCTTCCTGGTGCCGTGGCCCTTTCATGCAGTTCCTCATGCTGTGGTGGACCCAACCATGACATTATCTTCGTTGCTACTTCCTCACTGTCATTTTGCTACTGTTACGAATCAAGTGACCCTGTAAAAGGGTCGTTTGACTCCCAAAGGGGTAGCGACCCACAGGTTGAGAACTGCTGCTCTATATGGAGTTACCACTGTCAAGTCACCCAGAGTCTCCTCACTCTTCAGTAACAACATGCTTCTCCCTGCTTTCCTTTAAGAAACGTCCTTCACCACACTAGTCCCAGGGTGCAGATTGACGTGGAGGGAGGCAGAAAGGCTAACTGACTAGAAAATGAACTCAGATATCAGTTCTTAGCCTGGAAGGGACTCGGAGATTAGCTCATGTAGTCCACTTATTTTACCAGTGAGGAAACCGAGATCCAGGGAGGTCACTTGGCTTGATGAACATCTTGCAACAAATTAAAAACAGTCAGGATTCAAACCTTTGTTCCCTGACCGAGGTCACTGTGCATGGGCCTCCACCAAAGCATGGGAGGTGCTAAGACCTTAGGGAGAGGAATCGAGATCAGGGCAGCACAGGAGCCATATTAATATCTAGTCTTATGGTCCAAGAGTAACGCCACAGAGCTCTCCTTCCATAGCTCTCTGCACTCCCCTACCAAATGCCAGAGATTGCTATACTTCTAACAGTGGCCATCAGTTCTCCCATACCTAAGTACATCTACTGAAATTCTTTATTTTCATGCAAAGAGCAAGTCCCTTAACCAAGAGAAAACCTCAAGCTAGATACATTGGGAAATGTAACAGTCTTCCCCCAAGTTGCGGGTGGGGGTGGACTAGTAATGGTTTAGACTTCTTGGTCCATTACCACCACCCGGTTATTAGCTATGTCACCTTGGCCCGATCTTTTCATCGGGAAATTAATAATTCCCATTTGCTGTGCACTTACTCTGAACATGTCAATAACTATGTACTGTACCCATCCGTCTGTCCTTTATAATAACGACATTCTCCAGTCTGCAAATGAGGAAACCGAGACTCAGATCAGAAGGGGAAAATCCCTAGCCTGAGATCATCCGGGCAGTGAATAGCTGAGCTGAGATTTGAACTGGCATCTAAAACTTACACTCCTTGCTCTCTGCAGTGATGTGCTGTCTGTGTGCCTGCCCCAGACAGGACTAGCTTCTAGGAGGGCCAGGATTTGTCTATTACTGTCTCCAAAGTGTGTGGCCCCTAGTAGACAAGAAATACCTCCTAGATCAGAGGTTCTCAACCTCCCTAATGCCGTGACCCTTTACTACAGTTCCTCATGTTGTGGTGACCCCCAACCATAAAATTATTTTCATTGCTACTTCATAACTTTAATTTTGCGACTGTTATGAATCGGGCGACCCCTTGTGAAAGGGTCTCAACCCCCAAAGGGGTCAAGACGCACAGGTTGAGAACTGCTGTCCTAGATGAAGCGGGGCCTGGACCTTCTTCGCTTTTCTCCCCCGGACTCTCAGTAACTCATTGGCACAATCCTGTGTTGTCTCCATTCCCAGGACCCTGAACTGCTCTCTGTGCTACTTGAGGTTGTTTCCTGCCCTACTCTGGTGTGCTCACTTTTCCTCATCTCTTCTCAGCTCCTACTGTACAGATAGACAAGATGGGAAGTGTTGTGAAAATCATCTAATCCAACTGAGTTACCAAGAACGCGATAGTCTATAAAGCAAGTTTTCATTCTGGAATATTGATGTAGATCTAACATCAAACCTTTAACTCGCCCTATCCTCTTCCCCTTGTTTGTGTGTGAAGCTTTTTGATTTAGTGTACAGAGAAGAGACGCTGCTTAATGTCATCAAAAGTGTCACTCGCAACGGACGGTCCATTATCCTGACAGCGGTCCTGGCTCTGATCCTGGTGTACCTGTTCTCCATAGTGGGCTATCTCTTCTTCAAGGATGATTTTATCCTCGAAGTAGACAGGCTGCCCAATGAAACGGCTCTCCCAGGTAGGTTTGTGACCTTCTGATTTTATGTAGAAGGAACACTTCTTTACAAACAGAAACCTGTACAACAATGTACATTGCAGCATAATTCACAACAGCCAATAAGAAAGTAGAAGCGAGCCTAAGTGTTTATCAATCACTGAATGAATTTTTTTTTAATGTGGTACATACATCCCACGGAATACCACTCAGGCAGCAAGAAAACTAAATTCCGGATGCAGGCCACAGCATGGATGAACCTTAAAAATAGTATGCTGAGTGAAAGAAGTCAGAAAAGGGCAAAAATGGGGTGATCCCACTTATATAATAGGGATCATCCCTATTATAGGCAAATGTATAGAGACTAAGTGAATTCCTGGTTACGAGGGTGGAGACGTTGGGGAGAAAAAGAGCATCACTGTCATTGCTTAGGGGCCCTGGGTTTCCATTAATGGAATAGAATCATTTAAAAGAGTGGTAATGATGGTGCTATATGATGACCATAATTGATACCATTGGATTGTTAAAAATGTTGAATTGGCATGTATTTGTTATAAGTAAGGAAACAAGATACAAAAATAGTATTTCACTATTGTAATAGAACTAAAGAAAATGTTGACTTTAGCAATGTAGCTATCACTACCACCACCTCCCCACTCCCTATTTTATCTTTCAAACACCCAGAGAGCATTTTAAATTCAGAGCATAGTCTTTGCTGTTTCATTCAAAGATGATGTGGAATATCAAATGCCAGGGGTGCATACTCACTCTTATATGTCTCCCTTATGATTTATTGTGTAAATATATAACCAAAATAAGTGTTATTGTAACCACTTTTAAGTATATAATTAGCTGACATCAACTACATTCAGCATGCTGTGCCACCTTTACCACTATCTGTTTTGCTGTAAAACAGAAACTCAGTGCCCATTATATGCCTTCAAACAGGGACCATCTCTGGGTTTGCTTGCTTGAGGTTTCCACTTTTTACTAGGTGGAAGTTTCGCAGCCCCGTTTCTATTATCTTTATATAAAGCAAGGACAAAAGACCTTTCCACTTGTGAGAAGGTTTTAAAGGGGAAAGAATCACATCTTTGAGTGATAGCCAAGTGCTCTTTTCCCTCAACTGAAATAGCTGGCCTTACTTAGTAAAATGTTCCTGGTTTGTCATCAGGTAGCTAGGCGCCTCTAGTCCCAGGAACACACCGGAGTTGTTGGGACAGATTGAGCCAGGCAGCCGTTGTTTTCTCACAACCAGATGCTGTGTTCTGGGTACTTCATGTCAGCCTCCAATTTGATGCTAAATGGCATTGACTGCCAACCATCTGAGGCTTTTGACCTAAACCAGTTTGGACCTCAGATTTCCACCCTTGCTGGCTGATGCTTCCCTTGGTAGAAATCTTGCAGATTTCCATAGTATTTGTCTAAGCGTTTCAGCTGTTTTTCTTTAAAGTTGGAGAGGTGCTATTTAAGTGCGGTATTTCTAGTAAGTCTACAGAAATTGACATTTCTGGCTTCTTTCCCATCCCAATCACCCAATGAAAGTGTAAATTGCATTTCCACTTGGAATTTATATGCAGGATTGTAGGGTGTTAGTTATGTACAGAATTGTTTAATCAGCCGTGAATTGGTGACTTCAAACATTTTAACCATATGCTGCCAGATTATTCATCATAAAATTTCTCTCTCTCTCTCAGAAGCCAGTGAGAGTTTGGCAAGTGAGTTCCTGTCCTCGGATGTGTGCAGGGTGGATTCTGGGGAGAACTGTTCCTCCCCTGCACCCAAAGAAGGTAGGACCTGGGAGCCTGGAGCCCCATGTTAATGTCAGAGTCCTCCAGAGGCCTAGATGGTGCAGATGATGTTAGAAGCAGATTAAAGCAAATTCTTGGCTCAGAAGTAAAGCCAGTAGAAGCAAAGTGGTGGGGGTGGGGGTGGGGGGAGGGCAGAGGGAGGCCTGGCTGGGAGAGAAAAGGAAGGTGGAGGGGAAAGAGGGCTGCATATGAAGAGAATAGCTGTTTAATTGGTTCATCCGGTACTTGCTGCGTGCCCACTGGTTCCGGGCGCTGTGTTAAGACAGGCAGTCCTCGGGTTACACATGAGATCCCTTTGGAGGTCAGCCAGAAACACGTGGTTCTTATTTAGCCTTTCGTGCCATGATGTAAAAGCAGCTCGTGCAGCAAGTGAATGTGACTGTGATGAGGAATTTGTTGCAAGTAGGGGTTGAGTGCGGAGCCCTGGCTAGCACAGTAGTTATAAGTTGGGGCGCTAACCTTGAGGTCAGCAGTTCAAAACTACCTGTTTCTCCTGGGGTGTTGGGGGAGGGGGAGGATGAGGTTTTCTGCTCCCATGAAGAACTGCCATCTCTGAAACCCACATACGTAGTTCTACCCTGCCCTATAGGGTTGTCATGAGTAAGAATTGATTCCATGGGCAGTGACTTTGATGTTTTTGGAGGGGTTGGTTCAAGTGTTTCAAACTGAGGACAACGTGCTGTAACAGTAAAGGTCCCCTGGGAGTTGTCCAGATGTTATGAACACAGGGGACCGCCTGTATTCTAAGACACAATGGTGTTAGGGAGGTAGGCAGGTGACTGCCAGAGAGAGTGCTAACTGATGAGGATAAAGATGAAATATCGGAGCTAGGGGGCCCCTGGGTACGTCTGCTAACTGAAAAGTTGAGTCATTCAGCTGCTAGTTGGAAAATTCAAGTCTACCCAGAGGCACCTCAGGAGAAAGGCCTGGCAACCCATTCCCAGAAAAGCTGTCACTGAGCACAAGTCTGTGGAGCACAGTTCCATGCTCAGGCCCATAGCGGGTCACCAGGAGTCAGAACTGGCTCCACAACCTCATTTTAGTAATGAAACTCAATTGTCCCAGACACAGAGGGGTTTTAAAAGAAAGGGATCGATTCTTGGGGGCTGCATTTTTTTTTCTTCATTTTTTCATGTCCCTGCCAGTTGGAGAGCTAGCATTGTCCACAAATATAACCTCACAGTCACCGATCCGGTTGCCCCCATGCCTTAAATCTGTGCCTCCTTGCTGTGTGCACAGAGCTGGTCCTGGTGGAAGAGCTGGAAGAAGATAAGGAGCATACGTGTGAGACGCTGCTCATGTGCATTGTCACCGTCCTGAGTCACGGGCTGCGGAGCGGGGGTGGAGTGGGCGACGTGCTCCGGAAGCCGTCCAAAGAGGTAAATGAATCCCAAAGGGAAGGCCGAGCAGAGAGAGGCAAGGTACACAAGGCAGTGGGATTAGGTGTCAGCTGCAGCTTCAGAGGAAGAGCTGGGCTTAGCAGTGAGTGGTGGTGCAGAACTTGAGAATGATGGCTCCCTTATATCCATTCATACGGGGGTCTCCTTCGGCTTGAGTCTGGCCAGCCTTTGTGCCATTTCCTAACAGCTGAGGTCCCAGGAAGCAGGAAAGGACCCTGGATGGTACCAGAGGTGAAAGTACTCAGCTGCTCACCGAAAGGTTGGAGGTTTGAGTCCATCCAGAGGAGCCTTGGTGGTGTCATGATTACACATAGGGCTGCTAACCACGAGGTGAGAGTGATTCGAAACTACAAGGCACTCTGGGAGAAATATGGGGCTTTCTTTGCCTGGAAACCAACAGGGGTGGTTCTAGGCTATCCTATAGGGCCGCTGTGAGTTGGAATCCACTCCTTGGCAGTGAATTTGGCCGTGACCCTGTCTACATGTGAAAACTCAGCTATCGAAAAGCCTTCGTTGGCCTCAGACACACGTGGTGGGGTTAGTCCCAGAAAACTCCTTTAGCCGCGCATCGCATCTCAAGAGAAGCCCCAGTCAGAAGCAGGTTGGGAAACAATGCCCGCTAAGTGCACAAGTCTGGCCCTCAATCCAACTGCTGCAGGCGGCTGAGAGGTGAGGCACCCCTGGAGTGGGTGCTCACCCCCAGTGATGCCCAGCCCAGGGCCGGCTGACCTGCAGGACTCAGGCACCTCATCTCTCTTTCAGGAGCCCCTCTTTGCAGCCAGAGTGATTTATGACCTCTTATTCTTCTTCATGGTCATCATCATTGTCCTGAATCTGATCTTCGGTGTCATTATCGACACCTTCGCCGACCTGAGGAGTGAAAAGCAGAAGAAGGAAGAGATCTTGAAGACCACATGCTTCATCTGTGGTGAGTGTGACGATTCAGCTTCGCGGCAAGTTGGAGTCTCTCTCGGCCTCAGTTGTGCCCTGGCGACACCCAGGGAGGAAGGGCGTGCACTCGTGCATGCATGGCTTCCTGGGAGGGGACAGGCATTGCATCCTGGAACACCTCTGTCCTGGTTATTGAGAGCCCTCCTCCTTTGCCTCTGTCGTGCTGGGAAGTATTTGGGGTGCTGCTGAATTCTGTGCAGCAGTCACTGGACTGCGCTCTGGCATACACTTTGGGGTCACACATTCATTAGGAGTACAGCTTAGGGTCTCTTGCTGTTGGGCTGCTGGATCATTCATCCTGGGTCCCATTTCAGTAAACTGCCAGTGGGGAAGTCAGCCTGCAGAAAAATAGACCTAGTCAAGACACCTATGGTGCAAATCCAACTTGTGGGATTGTCCTCACTGCTCAGAGAAACATTAAGTGGAAGGAAAATCCTTTGTGGAGTATTTGGCAAAAGAATTTAGAATTTGGATTAGAGTGAGACCTGGCTTCTGTTTAAGCTGCTGCCACTTACTAGCCACGTAAGCTTGGTTTATTCACTTAGCTTCTCTGCACCTGTTCCCTGAACTGTAAAATGGGTGCAGTATTACACAGTACTTCTTGAAGTTTTGTGGTGACTAAGAGGTAGTTTCTATACTACTCCTAACAGATTGGCCCAGTGGCGGCAACAGTGGGCTCAAACGTAGCACCATTTATGAGGAGGGTGCAGGACCAGGCAATGTTTGGTTTATTGTACATAGGGTCCGAAGCACACATGGCATCTAACAACAGCCACACTAACATAGAACTTGGCACATTTACGTTCACTGCGGTCGTATCGATGCAGATGCCTAGTGACCCTACAGGACAGGGTAGAACTGCACCTGTGGATTTCCAAGGCTGTAACTCCCAGAGTGGAAAGTCTGGTCTTTGTCCCTTGGAGATACGTGTGGTTTCAAATTGCTGACCTTGTGGTTGGCCGCCCAACATATAACCACCAGGCTACTCTGACACATTATAGACACTCAACAATTAGTAGCAAGCCACTACATGAAAGAGATGCCTGGGTTACCACAGCAATGTTTGCTGTATAGGAAATGACAGAGAAATATATACAAATGGAAATAAATATGTAGGAAGCTGGGAGATGAGTAACCATTTAAATATTATTCATTGTGTCATTACTTAAACATATACATTTCCTACCGGTAGAGATGCAAAGAGAAATAAAAAATTTTCATTTAGAAACTTAAATACATTGCTCTTTCTCCCTTTAAAATTTTAAAAAATATTTTTTTGCTTTGTCATAATTTCAGAGTCCTAGAGAAGTCATAAGAAGAGTGCAAAGAATCTCTGTCATTCAGATTCCACAAAGATAAGAATTTGCCGCAGTCTTCTACACATGCACACAATATTTCTGAGCAGTTTGTTTATCACAAATCTTTATATCTCCTAAAAACTATGAAATTTTCTTCTATATCCATAGTACAGTTATCAAAATCTGACAATCATCCTGATACAATACTATAATAATGTAGACCTTTTTCCATTTCAACCCCTTTACCAGTAACATCCTTAATGGTCAAAGAAAATCCCAGGTCCCCAATGTAGCTCATCATCATGCCTCTTTAGATATTTTTTTAAAGAACATAGTGTTACTTTGTGGCCTGTCCCTTGGTTTTCCTTTGTCTGATTTCTCCCCTGGGCAAGCTTGAAGTGCGGCATTTTTATGGGCATCTCAAAGACAGTTGTGTTTTCCTCGGTACATCATCTCAGGAGACACAGCTGCCAGTCTCGTTTAACAATCAGTGACAACTTTGATCACCTCTATTAAGGTGGCAATTTCTGGGTTTTCCCAATGTAAGTGGATTCTTTGTAACAAATATCTCATGGGGGGCGGGGACTGAGATTGTGTAAATATCCTGTCATTCCTCACACCTTCACCATTTGTAGCATCCATTGATGATCTTGACCCTAATCTAGCATCGTGATAGTTGCCAAATGATGACTTTCTTATTTCATTCTTCTTTCTACATAAGAAATAACCCTTTCTTCTCCCCCACATATGTATGTGTGTGAATTTCTAACAAACAACATGGACGTAAAACATTATAATCCTTTGCTATGGTGATTATTCTGATGCTCACATTGCCCCAGCTTTCACCCGTGACAGCCCTCTCAAGCTGTATCTCTCTTCTTGTCATGTCCCCATCGCTCGTTATGCCCTTTCTTACTTCGTTGGATCAACAAAAGCTCCCCATTTACCTTTCCTGCCCTAGTCCTTGAATCGGCCATTTCTCCAAAGAGCACTGTGCTTTTTAGTAGGGAATGACAATTAGAAGCTACAATCTAGGGACAAGGTGTACTCATTCTGTGATGGGTACTGCTCTCGGGCTTATTAGGGCACAGATGTAGGGGACACATATATATACAAACACATACATATATGCAAATATACACATACTTGTATAGAGAGAGAGACTATAAACACACACGTGTGAACACACATCTGTTCTGTACATCTGTTTATAAACACCTGGAAAGGTACACATTCATAGTGACATCTCTAATTCCATTTCAATATCAGATTATTTATTCTTTTTCCCTTTCCATATTTGTAACTCCTTTCTTTGACAGTAAAAAATCTTAATCCTATTACCCACACTGCTTTTGTTTTCCTTCAACCCTAAAATATACAGAAAGTGGTTTTACAATTGTTTGCCCAGAACCCTGCAAAATACAAACCTACCAACTACAGTTAATGCTTACATAAAGTTCTTTCAGTCTGTATTCCGTCTTCTCAAAACCTTTTAGCATGTCCACATGTTGGCGTTTGCCTGGGAGAAGGAATCTGACGTTCAGAGGTTTCACACATATCCCCATCTTAACAACTCAGCAGCCCCACAGTGCAGCCCAACCATTCGCTGATAAACCAGGGTAGACACAGAGAGGTTGATGAGCAATTGGTTGGTGTCAGACATGAGAGTCCCAACCCAGGGCAGTTGACTCACAGCCTGTATTATCATATAAAAAGCAGAACCCAACTCTTTTTTATTATTTATTTATTTATCTTTTTTTTTAATCGCTTTATTAGGGGCTCATACAACTCATCACAATCCATACATACATCAGTTGTGTAAAGCACATTTGTACATTCATTTCCCTCATCATTCTCAAAACATTTGCTCTCCACTTAAGTCCCTGGCATCAGCTCCTCATTTTTCCCCTCCCTCCCTG